TTAACATGTATATGAACTATGTACTTTATTAGAAAACCAAATATTTAAAAAAAATTTACTTACTCTTAGCCACTCTACCATATTTTCTTCAATTTCACTATCAGCAGAGATGTCTAATATAAGACGTCGTGTCAAATGAGCTTTGTGATACCTCATAAAAACATCTTTGTTTTGTACATATTTAAGTACCAAGAGCTGTATGAAAAACAAAGTTACTTTCAATTCTTATATACTCTTAGCCATCTCTCTCATTTAGACCTTTCTATATCCCCCCAATTGTCAAAATTCAGAAATTCATATGGACATACACAGATAACAGCCTACTAAATTATCCATCTCTGAAAAATAACCAGTCCTGATACACTACTTTAAAAGTTAGCAAATGTGAGACTGTAACCAAATAACCTTTTAGTCCCTATAATTACCAGTTTTTAGATTTTATACAAAATGTGACAGTACTTTACATGAAAAATCAATGGTTCTTCCCCAATTTTCTCTTCTACATATCTTCTTCACTTTTTTTCTGACACTAATCATCTCTCTGGGCCTTTTTGTGTATACTTGCCCTATATTTTTACTTCTTTTTCCCCCCTTCTTTGTGTTCCTGGACTTATATCATTACACTAACAACCAGGCAACAAATTAAAATGAAAGCAACTAACTCTTCTATTCTAATTCATCCCTAGCTATCTATCTCGGGCTCTCACAAAAATGAAGGAGTGAAAAACTCCCAATCTCTCAATTATCATTCCAAACTTAGCGGTTTACTTTCCCTTTTAAAATCTTGTAATAGGAGTTAGAATATTGACTAAAAAGAATCAAGAAAGGAGAAGAATTAAATGGTATTATTTTTCAGGCAGCTATAGAATAAAAATTTTCAGAGAAAACTAACTTCCCTGTAGAAGTAAGTCTTGGCACTGTAAAACTCTGTAACGTTAGCTGGTTACGGATATACTTTTTTTTTTTATTGATACTATCACAGAAACTCCTATAAGCAAATACAAAGTAAGGTAATTTAAGAAGTTGAAATACAAAAAAAATTATGTACCACTTCTTTAAGCTTTGCTTCAATCTCTTCAGAGGTTAGTTTTTTGCTTAATGGTGTTTTTCTTAGCAACATGTCACAGTAATTGGCAAGCAGCTCAGGGCATTTTGATTCAGGCTGAGTTTTTAATCCCACCCTAAAAAACAAATTAAAAGCAGTTGATGAAAAAATGATTGATATTTGCAAAATTTTTTTCTAAAGCCAATTTTTCACAAGCTAATTTCTTATGTTGAATAATCTAGTCATTAGGGTTGGGACTAGGATGAGCAAGCAAAACAACTAGTGTGCGTAATTTAAGGAGGCACTTATCTTTAGGTTCCCCTAAGTGCCTACGCTGCACTTGCAAGACCCTGAGAGCAAGAATTTCCTTAAATTTGGCACTCTGGGTACCTCCATGCCTCACCTGAGTGCTGGCCTTGCAAAGATCTTTAAAAGATTTTATTCAGATACCTGCTAAAATACTTCTGAAAAACTATGTAAATCCTTGGATATTTATAAGTTAGCATTTAAAACTTTTTATTATTAATGTTAAAACTGTTACTTCAGTCTTTGAAATGTATCCAATGTAACCTACATTCCACAGTGATGTGATATCTACCATCATCCATTTTAAAAAACTGTAAACAAATTCTTCTTAAACAATGAAGAATTTGTATCTCCATTTCACTTTCCTGACAAAATTTTAAAACCAGTATATTGTATTTTTTAAAAAAAATAACTGAGATGGGGTTTTGCTATGTTGCCCAGGCTGGACTGAGGTCATCCCTCTGCTTCAGCTTCCCGAGTAGCTGCCAGCAAGCCCAGCAGTATATTGTATTTTTCAGATGGGATCTGGCTATGTTGTGGAGGCTGGTCTCAAACTCCTGGCCTCTAGCAATCCTCCTGCCTCAGCCTGAGTAGCTGGGACTACAGGAGCTAAGTCACCATTTCCAGCTTCTTATGTTCATTCTTTATTGAGCTTCTCTAGAAACATACATAAATAAATTCAACATTTAAAAATTTCTTGTGCTTATAAAATTTAAGTGTTATTTTCCAAGGACTGAGCTATCCAAATTATTATAAGTACATAAATCACCAAAACAACATAATTATATAATACGTACATATATAAAATATATGCATATGTAAAATTTTACTGGATGAGTCAACTCTAATGTGTCAACTCAACGTAGTAGATGAAATTTTTTCCCCCTCTCAATTATGAATCCAGGAATCAGCACCAATTCTATTTCTTTTTATGCTTATGAATGTATGCCTTTGCCCTGAGAAATCTTAATCACATAAGTAAGTAGATGGGACTAGAGTAAGTTTTTCTTATGATGTCATTCAATTCTTTTAGCACCTCCTGAGTCATTTGCTTAAAAAAAATACATACTAATCTAATATTAAAAATTATTTTAATGATGCATATTTTTTATAATGGCTAATACCAATTGCGTTGAAAGTAAAATATTAGAAACTATCTGACTTGCAAAAGGATCTGATACCTAATTCAAAAGAAATTAATTTTATGTATATCAGTACTAATATTTCAAAATATTCCTTTCTTAGGACATACAAATGCAGGGATAGCTTGGTATGAGGCACTAGAACTCAAAAGTGGCCTAAGGAGGGTGGCCATGCAGAAGGATAGCCTGGTATAGGTTGCTGAAGCCACAGCAGAGTGAAAGAGCTGTCCCCTGAGAGAGTCTAAGACTTGTGACACCTTAATAGCAATGAACACACCTAACTCCAGATCTCATCCACTAAATATCATTATCCACTAGAAAAACCCAGGGCTTCGTGGAAAAATGGCTGATTCCAAGGCTAGGGAAGGGAAGGCACAAAATGAGTCTGAAACATCCTCATGTGACAAAAGGAAAGAAAGAATTTACTGTCAAAAGGACCCAGAGTCCAGCTCCTATTAGTGAAATCTAGGGTAATTTGAAAATCAAAATAAAGAATCATAGTAAATTAGAAACCACTTAACGAAATAGGAAACCATGATCTATACTGATATGATAAATCAATGTAAAAATTGAAAATTTGATGAGAAATAGGATCTTTTCATAGTTTTAAAGCACTTCCGACAAAATTAAGAGAAAAAGGATAACTTTGCCTTTTTCTGTGGAGATGTCTGGCAGTCACCAACTTACATCAAGTGATCAAACTAAACAAGACCCACGGCCAGGCTTAATGGTTCACGCCCGTAGTCCCAGCTACCTGGGAAACTGAGGTGGAAGGACTGCTTGAGCCCAGAAGTTTGAGGTTACAGTGGGCTATGATTGTATCACTGCACTCCAGCAGTGATAGGGCAAGGCCTCTCTCATTAAAAACAAACAAACAAAAAACACCATGCACTCTAAGATAAGATGAGGTAAGAACAAAGCTTCATGTCTGCCAAAGATGCAAACCTGAATCTAATCATAAGGAAACATCAAATTAACACAAACTAAGGGACATTCTACAAAATAACTGGCCTGGAATCTTCAAAAGTACAAGGTCATGGCTGGGCACTGTGGCTCATGCCTGTAATCCTAGCACTTTGGGAGACCAAGGAGAGAGGACTGCTTGAGGCCAAGAGTTCAAGACCACCCTGAGCAACACAGAGAGACCTCACCCCCTATAAAAAACGAAAAAAGAAAAGAAAAGAATAATTAGCCAGGTATAGTGGGTCTCGTCTGTGATTCCAGCCACTCAGGAGGCTGAGACAGGAGGATTGCCTGATACCAGGAATTCAAGAACAGGCCGGGTAACATAGCCAGATCCCATCTCTCAAGTTTTTTTTTTTAATAATTAGCCAGGCATGGCGGCATGCACCTGTAGTTCCAGCCACTCATGAGGCTGAAACAGGAGGATCATTTGAACCCAGGAGTTGGTGGTGGCAATGAGCCATTGCAATCCAGCCTGGGCAACAGAGTGAGACCCCATAAAACATTTATGGTCAATTCATGAAATTTAAAGGGTAGAGGAGTAGATGGTAACAATCAAAGTTAATTTCCTGATATGGAAAGTTATATTGTGATTATGTATGTAGAAAACACACACTAATGTATTTGGAATGGTGAACAATTTACTCTCAAATAATTCTAGAAAAAAAGATTTTGCAAAGAGAAAAGGATAATAAGGTAATGGTAGTCATGACTTTATACACATAAATTTGACAATTTAGCTGAACAAATTTCCTGAAAACTATAATTTACCAAAACTAAACTAGATTAAATAAAAAATCTAAAGAGTTCTGTATCTATTAAAGAAATAGAACTTGTAATAAAAAATCTTCCCACACAGAAAACTCCAGGCCCAAATGGTTTTACTTATGAATTCCATCAAACATTTTAAGAAGGATGTAATACCAATTACACTATTTCAGAACATACAAAAGGAGGGAGTAACTCCAGTATAATCCTGACACCAGAAAACAATAAAGACATTTATAAAAAAAAAAATTTGGAAGGGCAAAAAAGGAAGAGGCAAAATCCTCTATGAATACATATGGGAAAAAAACAAAAACCAAAATTATATTACCTGACTCAAGACTTACTTCAGAACTATATTAATCATGACTGTGTGGTAACAGCCTAAGAGTACCCAAATAAATCAATGGAACAAAAAGAGAGCCAAGATATAGATCCACATTTTTAATTCACTTGATTTTTGACAGAAAGGCACCAATGCAATGGGGAATAGAAAGTCTTTCTAATACATAGTGCTGAAACCACTTACTAATATGGAAAAGGAAAAAAATGAAATTCAATCCCTCACACCATACACAAACATTAAGATGGATCTTAGACCTACATATGAAAACTAAAAATGTAAAGTAGAAAATAAAAAACATCCTCATGTCCTAGGGAAGTAGACAAAGCCTTCCTAGATAAAACATAAAAAGCAAAAACCATAACAGAAAAGCATATGTTTTACAAAGAACTGTATTCAGAATATATAAGCAGTCTTATAATTAACTCACTAATACAAAGGAACAATCCAAAAGGAAAAAAAAAAAGCAAAAAATTTGAAGACATTTCATAAAGGAAAATATAAGAATGCCAAAAAAAGATGAAAAATTACTCAACATCAGTAGTCAGGAGGGAGATAAGAATTAAAACCATAATGAAATGCTAACACAAACATTCAGAATGATTAAAATTAAAACACCACCGCCAAACACTGGTGAGAATGAGCATCAACTAGGACTCTCATACTTTGTTGGTGGAAGTGTAAAATAGTATAAACACTTTGAAAAACAAACTATTGTTACATGCCAAACATGGATGACTCTCAAAAGCACAATGCTGAATGGAAGAAGCTTTATGCAAAAAAGTAGGTATCGTATGATCCCATTTATATAAAGTCCTAGACTGGGCAAAACTAATCTATGTTGAAATAATCAGAATAATAGTTGCCTCTGGAAGGAGGTGGGGTGGGACTAACTAGGAATGGGGAATGAGGCAACTCTATAGGATAATGAAGATATTGCACATGTTAAAAAGGGTATATGCATTTGTCAAATCTGACTCAAGTGTACACTTAAGATTTATGCATGTGACTTTATGTAAATTTTACCTCAAAACATAAACAAATATCAAATTCAATTAATGACTACATGCTAAAGTATTTAGTTAGGAAGTAAAGGTTACTGATGCTTGCAACTTCTTGAGAAATGCACTTAAAAAGTTGACTGATTGGCCGGGTG